TTTTTTTTTTCTTCTTTTTTTTAAATACTCTTTCTTCTGTGGTGATAATGTTGTGTCCTCTACTGTAAATGGGAGGGGGTAATAATAAGAAAAACAAGCGGCAGCTCAGCAAATTAAAAAAAGGCAATAACACCTCTTCTATTTTCCCTCTTGATATTTGCTGCTACTCTAGTTACTTTATAGATCTTTCAGCCTACGAAAGGAGACGTCTAGCTTCTTCGTCCCTTTCTTATCTACCCTTCTAAATACCAGAAACACCTACAAAAATAAAAAAGAAGCAAAAACAAAAAAAAAGGATATCCAAAACACTTTGTCCTTTACATAGAGACGTATAGAATTATATATGTATACACATAAACACATTCATCCATACAAAAATATGTAAAATATCCCCTTTTTTTTTTTGAAAGAAAAAGAAGAAATGTCGACACAAACACACACACACACAGACACAGTCCGAACCAGAGATCACAAAAAGAAAAAAAAAAAGAACGGTACACACTCAGAATAGTAGAATTCCAAGTTGTGTCAAAAAAAAAAAAAAAACGATCATGTTTCACACTTTACAGCTATCATAAATATTCCAAAAAATCTCTCCTGAATTCATAGATGCCTTTAACTTTGTGGCTAATAATATGGTTCCACTGAGTCGTCGATGTAGTGAGTAAATCGGTGTGGGTGGTGGTCGCAATCGCAGTTTAATCATTGTTGGCACATGTGCCTGAATCTGTGATGGAAGTTCTTCCGCCGCAAAATCAAAAGTCCTATCACGATGACGGAATGGTTTTCCTAATAAAATAACACTGGCAACATGAGCATCCAGCATCTCTTTCATTTCATTTCCTGTGAGAAACCCTAACTTAATACTCTTCGCTATAATAGTATCGCGATCTTGTCGTGCAGCAGCAGCGACAACATCTAAATAATCTTGCACAAACTCTGCGCTGTACTCACGAGCAGCACCAAAGTCAAGAAGACTAATTTTATTGGTTTTAGCATCAAATAAAAAGTTAGAATAATTTGGGTCTGTTTGCATAAATCGCCATAGGAAAAGTTCTGATAAAGTTAACATTAACATGTGTTCAGCAACATGATTTTTAAGCTCTTGCATATTTGGAACCGTTGCCAACTTATCTATTGGAACACCAGTAACCAACTGTGTAACTAAAACACTATCTGTTGATAGTGATGTATACACTTTGGGAACGATAAACACATTTCGAAGTTGTGGATGTTGCTCTACTAGATCGGCATACCGCATCTGCTTTGCCGCCTCTACAGTATAGCGACACTCCAACGCAAGCTCCTGACGAAGTTCTTGCAAAATATTATCCACAAACATTCCAGGCGGAAGTACGTGGAGTGTAATGAGCATCTTTAGATTGGCCACATCCGAGTCAATGCTGCGGGCAACACCAGGATACTGCACCTTCACAGCAACCTGCTCCACCACTCCGCTATTATTATTATTATTATTATTATTATTATTATTATTATTATTATTAATATCATCGTTGGTATTCTTCTTGTTCACTACCACAGCTGCGCGGTGTACTTGTCCAATACTGGCCGCAGCCATGGGTTCATCATCGAACTCCACAAATAAATCACGACGCCAATTCGTATTCTTATACTCCTTCGCCAATGTGCGGTTAAGTTGTTCCGCTGGCATGGCGTAAGCACTATCCCGTACTCGTTTAAACAGTTCAGTGATGTGTGATGGAACTGTTGCGCCGTCCTGTATACTCAACATCTGCCCAAGCTTCAACACCGCCCCTCGCATACGGCAGAGAGTCTCCACAATGCGTTCATGACTATAACTCGAAAGTCCACCACTGCCACCACTGCGTGTATGAGAGAGATGATCCCAGCCCAACTGCACAAAGAGGGATGCAAAGCCGGCAGCGCGGCCAACACGGGTAGCGGGAACAGGACGGTATCTAGTCTTCTCTCTATTTAACATTGAATCACCCAAACGGGCAGCCGCATCTGTTGGAAGTGTCATTGTAGAAGTATTAATGCTACGAGCCGTTTGTGTACGCATACCCTCACTCCCTGGAGTTTTAACACCACTACTAATAGTATTACCATGACTATCCGTAGTAGTACTAGTACTACTATTACTGCTGCTGTTACTGTTATTATAATTAGATCCAGTATGAGTGATACTACCGCCTACAGCCATTAAAATCTTTTTCAAACCCTGAGAGACATTACACCAGGAGTGCACAACACCACTTCTGCTTAACATTGACCCGTAGAAGCTAGAAGGTGCGTGATTTTATATTAACCTACAACACTTCACATTTGGTTAGAGATGTATATATATATATATATATATATATTAACGTATACAGGAAATAAAGAAAAAGAAAGAGAAACAATATAATATATACAAATTTCATAGGAGTTAAGAAATGAAAAAAAAAGTGAAATATCATCATAGTCACACCTCCAAGTAGTACATCCAATGTGAAGAAAAAAAAAAAAAAAAAAAAACTCCTTTCACAGGCCAACGTTTTTTCTCATAGACATAGGCAGTCCAAATCATACACGATATACACAGTAGTATATCTACCTATATTTATATACGTTTTTTTTTTTTTCTTCGATTACCTTATTTGTTCACTCTCTCTTTTGATCGTTCGTTCACCTCTCATCGTTTCAGGCAATATCTTATCAGGGGAAGTAATAGTAGTAGTAGTAGTAGTAGTAGTAGTAGTAGTAGTAGTAGTAGTAGTAGTAGTATAATACTTTATTGTGTAAAGAAAAAAAAAAAAAATTTCTTTTTCTGCATAACCCCAGAAAAATAAACGGGGACAGCATCACAATTATATATATATATATATATTTTTTTTGTTTCTCTTTATCCCCCAACTCTCCTTCCCTCTTCTCCTCCCCACAAATAAAAAAAACAAAGAAAACAAAAATCCCTCTACCACAATCATATGTACTAAAGTCGAGCGAGTGGAACGGTATGATTGACCTTAGCGGCAAGCTTAAGATACCACTCGGCAACTTCCTTCTTTGCCGTTCCCTGCACAGTATCCACAGTACTTGAAATGTACTTCATCCACTGCACCTGTACACTTGGCACTCCATGTAAATGCTCAAGTATGATAGCCTCCACAGACGCGCAAACACGATGAAGGACAGTACTATTATGACATCTTAATAAATTAATGAGTGCTGAAAAGTAAGCTTGAAATCTAAATAAACGATCTTGTCTTGAAGATACAGCTTCCGTATATCCAAGAAGAAGACATGCTTTATCAAATAAAGTGGATACAATAAGTAATAAACAGCTAATAGGTCGTGCATTATCCATTGAAGGAATTGCATGATCTGAACCACTGTACATTTCAGAAAGTAATTTCTTAACAGACGACTTTGGATTCTTCAAAATACGTTCCAACGACTGTTCATTACACTCCTCAAGTGCTTGACAAACAGAACGCACCGTCTTTGCGAAGTGACGAACCAAAAAGAGTGGTGGTTCACCATATCGTGAAGAACTAGATATTGGTATAAGTACAGCCACATAGGTTGGAACAAAGAGAGGCGCTATAGCTCTTTTAGATAAAAATACAGCTGTGAAAAAATCCAACGCGGCAATACCGAGAGCAGCACTAAGTTTATTTTGCATACAACGAAGTGATGTACTGACCCAATGCCGTAATACAATACTCTCATCCATCGCCAATGCCACACCTGAAAAAGCAAAAGCACGAAGGTACGCTTCAACCAGTGCATAGTGTAAACGATTCTTAACCTTTAATTCTTTTTCTGAACTGCTTGGAAGAATTACATCATTAAAAAATGTATTAATCTCTGAAGCTGTCATAGTTTTTGTGATAGCAACAAGACTCATTTGCATTTTTGAAATAAGTCGTAAAATTCTCTTGTTCTCTTCCACTGTAATATTAGCATCAGCCGTCACAAAAAAGGTTCGAATAGCATACAATTTTGTTAGAGATTCTAGTGCCATACGATGATTGGTATTAGAAATAAATTCATCTTGTTGAAAAAAATTAAATAGTAAACCTACTATCGATACGGATAAGCGTCGTAGAGGTTCAGGTATTTTCTTTGGAGAGATAAGAGTTGCGCACTGTGTAACATTTATATCATAAATCACATGTGCAATGTTGTGAATTTCATTTAATATTTCTTGAGCCGTTTTTGCATCAGAAGAAGCGGCATTAACAACAATCTGAACAACTCTTGATATTAATAGAGGCGGTTTTAATTGTATGTCTGTCAATTCCTTTATCTTTTCAGATTTAATAAGTGAAATTTGAAAGAGTTCTTCAGAAATAGCACGAAAAAGTGCAAGAACAGATGTATTATTTAAAGGAGTGTGATTATCATGTGGAACGGTATAGCCATGGGCAAGAAGAATTCGAAGAAAATTTGGTTTAAAGAGATTATCATCAGTACATAACTGTGTTACAGTAGCTCGTCGATGGAGTTGAGCATCATCACAAAGATCTACCCTTGGCATTCCTTGTAGAATACCGAGAATAGGAACTTGATAAAAAGAGAGCATCTTTTTCTTTTCATTCATTTCACGAAGTTCACGTCCACACTCTCGTCTTAGTGATTTAGTCCAAAGTTCATTAGCAAGTAATAAAGCTTCCAAATTCGTTTGTACAGTACTCATAATAGAAAGTACACCATATTGTGGGGTTAACACTTCTGTAGATGATGATTTCTTTCCAGGGGAATAAAATAAGTATTGAAAAGTTTTCCATTCAAAAGGTGGTCTATCTGCTAATCGATGAATAAGCAAATGTACAGCGACTTGTTCAACGCCAGTAAAATCACGTTGTCTTGCGAAAATAGAACAAATAAGACGACGAATAGAATCACAATAACCTTCTGTTGAAATAATACCCACTCCACTAAGACGCCATGCTATATCAGAGTTAAAAAAAGAAAGTACTGCACTTATATCAACCATATTTCGCATAGAAATAGTAGCAGCAAATAATTCTGCTGCACCAAGGGCAAGTTCTGCTGCACATAAACATCTTTTATCACTACGACGAAGATGTTTAAGATTGTTATCTAGTATTCGAGCAAGTTTCATTGACATTCGTACCACCATTTCCACATCTTTTTGAACAATATTCACAGCGTCACGTACTTCTTGACGTGCAAATGGCTCTTCAATATGTCGTAGTGTGTGAAATACTTGTGCTACGGTAATCACATAAGGAAGTAAATGACGAATTCCTGTTTCACGATGACTTTCTTCTACATGTGTGCCTTGCTGTAAATATTTGTCAAAGATATTTTCCGCATCCTTCGCATGACCCCAAAGCACCCCACAAAGTGCACTGAAATCACACTGTATACCTTTACACGTTACAAGAGGTTTGGCATGATGAGAAATTACAGCAACATCATCTTGAGTGAGAACATAAACTGCCTCAGGCATGATATGTAATTGTGTAGATGCTGTAGAACGGTGGAGACCTGATTTACGAAATAGCGCATTAAGTTGTGCCACAACAATGGTTTCCGCATCTAGTACCAGTTCTGTAGTATTTCCTGGAACTCTAACGCTGACACTCATCGTTTGGGACATGTCGGTGTATCACTTCGTTTTCAGACTTTGATGTGTAACTAGTTCGTTTATTGTTTACTCTTACCTTTTATTTGATATTTTCCTATCCAAAAAAATAAAGAGAAAATAAATAAAAAAAATATATATATATACAGCACACACAAAAAAAGGGAATATTAACAATAACAAAAAAAATAAAGGAACATAAACACAAAGAGAGCTATTTTTGAGGAGAGGAACAAAAACCTTGTCCCTTCCCCTACAAAAATGATCCCTTTCTTCTTTTTTTTTTTTAGAAAAAGAAAATTTTTTTTTTTACCGTAAAAACAAACAAAAGGAAAAAAAAAAGTAACATTCAGGCTTCCCTTTATCCCTCCATCTACTTGTGGCGGAAGGCGCGACGGCGAGTACCCACGCGTTCCTTTTCCTTTCCGCGAGACTTGAGGTACGGCTTGGCGTGGCTGCCGGGCACACCGGCGGCGCCGAAGTGCTTCACCGCCTCACGTCCAGCCTTGCGGCCGCGCAGCAGCATTGTGTTCTTCCCCGTTGGGGCGACCATGGCGAGCTGGTCGAATGTCAGGCACTCGCCGCCGGCGCCGGTGATGCGTTCGCGGGCGCTCTTCGAGAAGCGCAGCGCACACACGCGGAGGGCGGGGATGCGGGCCATGCGCACATCATCGAGGACGTCCCCGACGACGACGGCGATGGGGGCCTTTTTGCCCTTCTCGAGCCAGACGGACTTGCGGCGGAGGCAGACGGCGATGCGGCTGAGGGAGATGGGGGCGCGGTTGCTGCGGCTCTTCAGCAGGCGCTGGTGGACGAGCTTGTTGAAGCTGGAGTTCGTGCGCTGGGCGAGGAACTTGTAGAGCTTGATGAGCAGCTTGATGTACGGGTTCGTGGAGTACGTGTGGTGGCGCACCACGCGCTTCTTCTTCTGCACACCAGTGAGGTCAACTCCCATTTTTTATGTGTTGCGGGTTGAGTCGCGAGGCTGAAAAAGAAGAGTAAAAGGGACTAAAGCCTGATTATTGGTTGTCAAGAAAGAAAAAAAAAAAAAAAGAATAGATAAAAATAAATACAGATCAAATAATCTGGTATAGGGTACCATCATGATAAAGTTTTCACTTGTACATGTGTATATATTTTATGTGCGCTGAAAGAGCAATTAAAGCATCTTTCTAAATTATTTTTTTTATCACTCAAACTCCTTCCGCTCACCAATAAACAGATACAATGTGAAAAGACACACAGAGAAAAAGAAAAAAATCCCACCTTTATCTATTCGTTCATTCAATAGAAAATCATACTTCTTCTGCTCCTTAAGCGGAAGGAGGGATAATAAATAATAATTATAAAAGAAAAGAAAACTTTACATTCAAGATTAGGAAGGTCTGTACTTCACTCCCTCAAAACCGTGTAATTGGGATTTCAATCCTTGTGGGTTCGCCCAGGCACTGTTGCCATATGAGAGATCTTCATCTTCAATCATTTTTTTCATCTCTTCCTGTTTTTTATAATAGTATGACATGAGTTCCGCCTGTGTTTTGGCATCCACTACCGGTTCTCGCGGTGGTGGTGGGGCGTCCTTTGCTGTCAATTTCACTGTAATTTTTGTCTTTTCATTCTTGCCAAGATATTTTGTGAAGTCTGCTGTGCGATCAAGTGGCTTCCCACTCCACCACATGATGGCTGTTCCTTGAAGAATATCTTCTGTTGTGGCTCCATCATCTATAATGCTAAGCAGTCGGTGTGCTTTAGACCGTGTGGTGTCTGGAATATTATCATCATCCAGCAGTTTAGCCAAACGCCGTGGAGCATCTGCCCCACTACACTCTTCTGGAAAGAGAATCATTGCACCACCCTTAAAGGCAGCAATAATAGCATCTAATTCCTCCTGTGTACATAATAGACGCTTCTCCGTTCGCTCCACTGCCAAGTAACGTTCAGCATCTTCCACAGGACCCAATAAATGATGTTGCTGATCTTCTGAACAGAAATCTTTCACAAGTTGCTTTGCAGCAGCAATCATCCACTTTATACGAATACGTGTATTACGCATTTGTTGAAGCATGTCTGTCGCCTCGCCAATGTTGGTACTACCTGGTACGGATACTAGAAACACATCATAATCTTTACTGTATTCATCCTTTGGTAACCGCTTACACTCGATAAGAACCATGTTGGCAATAAAGAAACGCCCTAGAGAAGATATATTTAAGTATACTCTTCACTCTTCCACCTCACCAAAAAAAAGAGGTGATTTAATTCGTTTTTTTTTTTTGTTTTTTTTTTCCTGCTACCTCAGCTTATCCAAAGAAATTAAACCCATATACATTTATGTACACGAAAGACATAATGGGAAAAAAAAAGAAGGAGAAAAAAAAAAAAAAACAGAATGAAATGGCGGAGAAAAACTTAAACAAATTACCCTTCCATATACTTTCCCATATCGGTTATATATATTTTTTTTTCTTTTTTTTTCTTTCTCTCTCTCTCTCTCTGGAGATGAATTCTCTCCTCTTCACCTCTTCTGTTTTTCTCTCTCAGTGGATAGAGCGGGCGGAGATCCATCGTGGCTGCTGCGCATAGTCCAAGTGCAGCTGCACATCCTCCCACAGTCCACTGCGCTCCATCAGCGAAGCCACACACTCCGCCTGTAATCCCACCTCCATTACGAAGTTCGGCACTTCGGCGAAAGCAGCAGGACGCCTTCTTTTGGCTTTCAGGGCAGCCGCGCCAAGTTCGCAGAGTTCCTGAAAGTAAAGATATTGCTGCTGCTCTCGTTGTGGATCCCCCACAAGAGCAATCTTGGATTCCCACAATTTAATTCCCGGTGGAAGGTCCACGTATTGTTCTGGTAATACATAAGGTGGATTTGAAACAATAATATCAAATGAACCCAAATAAGATTTAGACAAGATTGGTTTTTTTTGGGTTTTATTGACTTCCCCTTTTTCTGCTTTGCACTTTTCTTCACCATTGTCACTATTATAGAGAACACTATCAGGTTCCAAAAAAGTCTTAAACATATCGCTTTTAATGACCTTATATCGACTTGAGTCAATACCATTTATTTTTGCATTCTCCTCAGAAGCTTTCACAGCCTCATCTAGAATATCAACGGCAACAATTTCAGCTTGTGATACATGTTTGGCAATGGCGATACCAACACAACCTGTACCACAACACATATCTAATACCCGTAATGGAGGCAAAGAAACATTTGTTGCTGTTGTTGTTGTTGTTGTTGTTGTTGTTGCCTTTTTTGTTTTTTCTGTTGCAACATCAAGATGATTTCGTACAAACCAATGTGTCCACATTTCCGTTTCCGGTCTTGGACAAAGTAATGGTGGAGAGCAACGAATATGACAACCATAAAATGGTTGATGTCCGATAATGTAAGCGAGAGGTTTATGTAGATCAACACGTTGTAATACAGCCTTCTTAACATTGCGACGAATCTCATCCTTTTCTTTCCAACCCTGTTCAAATGCCCACTCTTCTAACCACTGCAACTCTAATGAACTTTGATACCACATAGCTCGATCCTCCTTTCCCTTTCCATTTGCGGCGTAGTGTGTATCAAAAATCATTTGTGTGAGTTGTTGTCGTTCCTTAGTAGAGAGACATGACTCTCTTGCCAGAGATCGTGTAAAGGTTTTGGGAAGTGCTTTCATCTCTAACTCAGTTAATTCAACTAATGGGAGTTCTATCTCCGTTTCTTCTTCATCTGTGGGTACATATCGTGTCGAGACTGTTTGCATATTATGTGTTTTTGTAAAGGATGTTGAGTGACGGGCAATGTTAAAAAGTATTGTGGTCAGTGCTGATCGACTACACTGTCGCATTGCCGTTAATGTGTCAGTATGTAAATATCTATATGTTTAAAGTATATGTTTGTGCGTCTTTGTGTGTATATGTATGCTTATAATGAATTTGGGGGGTCTTTTCCTTTCCCCTGTACGTATATTACCCAGTTTCTTTCTGTGGATGTGAAAGTAGAAAATAAATGAAAATAAGAAAAGAAGGAATATAACTGGAAGATCAAACAAGGTGATAAGGGGTGAGTTTAATCATCACCCTTTCTTAGTGTTATGCGATAAAATGAACAGCATAAGAGAAAGAAAGATAAATTAAAATGAATAGATAAATATATATAGAGAATGGAAAAATTAAAGTAGACACAGGTACACACGGTGACGCAAGAAAAAAAAAAAAAATTCTTCACATCGTCATTAGATACCCTTTTTTTTTTTTTTAATTATTCTGTACTGATCGCTGGCAAAAGGATTAGGGGTATCAAAGGCAAAAGCTCTACGTAGAAAAACTACACAGAAAGAACAGAAAAAAAGAAAACTAACAAAAGAAAGGAGTCAAAAAAAAAAACTACGTGACGTAACTTTTTATTATGAAAGCGGTTCCCACTATTGTAAACACAATTCCTGTTGTAATATGCAGGATAGAGAAACCCATTAATAATCGAGTGAATTTGTATGAGGTAAAACCCATAACCCGTGAACGGGAGAATACAAACCAAGCGATAATCCCAGGACCTGTCAACATAAGAAATATACCAAGCAAAGTACCAGAAAAGTTAATCACCATAGATATACCTGAAATAAAAGAAGCCAACACTATAGTCGTACTAACAATAAAAAAAGCTTCAATAACGATAGCAAGAAATGTAGTATCTTCTGGTGATCCAACATCTCTATCAATATGAGTTTCAGCTGTTCCTATACTTCTGTTAGGTGCAACATTTTCACCTCCTTGATAAGCAAGATGCATAATTTCTCGTTCTTCTTCCATACGTTCTGTATGTTCACACCATGTTAATGCATGCATAATTAATCGATGTAATCCTCTACGCGCACAGACAGAGAGAATAGGATATACACAAGCAAAGTGTAAAAATAATCCAAGACGTCCAATATTCATTACGGTATCATCATTTGGATAATTACGTACAATATCACCACCAACATCTTTATGAGAGACAAGATTTCCAAACGTTAGATAACCAAATATACCTGTTGATAAATAACAAATAAAAATCACAGGGAAAGTAATATAAACACTTTTCATCATATTTTTGGGGGTACGAACAGCTAATTCACGATAAAAGTATGGTACATTATAGTGATATGCAAAAGCCACACCATAAGTAGACATAGTACGAAATATTCCTACCCCCACATGATACCAATTTATTTCTCCACGTTCTTTCGGATCCACATTTGGATACGGTTTCTCTCGTTGACTTGTAAAGAAACGGGCTACAACGGCTATAACAATATATAAAATGGTTAGAAATCCAACCAGAGAAGTCCACTTTAGTTCTTCCATATTTCGTATACAACTAAGAAGAAAGAACACTACACCAGAGATAATTAACCAGAAATTTCTTGTGGCAACAAATCCAGATGCATTTAGAAATCCCTTTACAACAGGTGGTATGGAATCAGCAATAACACGTGCGTAAATAATAAGAGCACCATAGTTATTTAAAAAGACAATTAATTCCACCATTACAGTTACTATACGTCGTCGCTTACGGCGTAAAACCTCATTTTGAGTATATTGTGCAAAGAGAATTTCCATCTCTAATCCCCCTTTATCAGCTTCAATATAATCTTCTGATAATCCATTGGAGGTATTTCCGCAGTATTCCTCAAATGTAAGGGATGGAAATAAAATAAATGCAAAAACTTCTGTAAAAGAAAAACGTTGTGTTGCCTCACATCCAACTACAACAGCAAATGTTGAAAATCCTGCAAGAATAGCTGTATACACCATTAAAACAACAGCTCCAGCCACAGAGGCTTCATACATGGCAAGTGGTAAAGAGAGTACACCTGCCCCAATGACATTACAAAGAGTATTAATACTTGCTGCAATGATAGTTCCATGGCGTGGGGCTTCTACAACTCCAATAACAGAAAGACGTCGAGCTACATGTGAACTAATACGAGTTGGTAATGAGTGTCGTGACTCACGTACAGAGAAACTATCCCCTACTAGAGGCTGATTAAGTGAATTCATCCTCTACTTCTTTTTTTTTTCTTCCTGGATATTAACTTTTATCTTTTTCGTGAGTCCACGTGAGAAGTATATTCACTGAGCTCCTCGTTTCTTTTTTTTTCTTTCTTTTTCTCGTTTGTAAGCACACTTAGCAGACTCTGCTTTTTCTTTATTATTATTATACGCTTGATTTCCTATGTTTTACTGTTTTCTTTCATCATCAAATTACCGTTTATATATATACATGTATTGGATCAAAGAAAACAAAACGAAAAAAAAAAAAAAGAATCGGGTTGAAAGATACAAGACAAAAAAAAAACATATACATACATAGAGATGCCAAGGGTTTTAAGCAGTAGAAATATATGTATATATTTCCAAAAGTAAAGTCCGCAAGCAGAAACACTCATTCAAATATAATTACTCTACGCATGTGTCAAGACCAACAAACAATCTCTCTTTTTCAATTCAGGCAACCAACACACGTTCAAACCAACCAAAAAAAAAGAAAAAAAAAGCCCCAGTGACACAGCGGAAAAAAATTTACTCTATATGTTTTCTTTTTCTTTTTTTTGTACTCTATGGCATCGTTCTATTCTCCACCTCTCTCTCTCTCTCTTTGAATTATTATTATTTTTTCTTCTTCCCCGTCTCTACTTTCGCTGCTTCTTGAGTGGTGGGGCAGAAGTGAGATTTGTCTTTTCTCCCTTCCTCTTCTTCGCCATTTTAGATGTATTCTCTTTTCCCTTCAACACTTCTTTTGTATTCTTCTTTTTCTTATTTCCACTTGTTTCTTTACTTTTCTTTGCCTTTGGCTGTAAATACTTTGACTCCAGATTACTCATCATATTACTCCACTCTGCCTCTTGATCCCGTTTCATCAATGCCTGCAGTGCCTGCAAACCACCCTTTTTCTCATCATTTGAAAGGCCCATCGCATCTAATGCCTCTGCCGCCTCTTTACGTTCTTTGGTCATGGAACGTTCAATCTGTTTAAGGACGGCGACGGTATTGGTTAGATTCCACGCCTCCGTTGATTGCAATTTTCCTGTATCCACAAGACTTTGCACAAGATCGCGAAGTCGCACAATTTCACCCTTTTTGGTATTGTCAAATAACAATTCCTCACGTACCATACGCCGAAAGTTACCTTTGCACTTTTTAAAGCAAGTCATCACATCTTCTATTTCCTCTGGTGTGCCGGCGTAGTTCACATAAAACTCATGCACTCGTTCTTTCATTTCCGCAGAGCGCTCTGCCATTGTGGCTTCACTCTCCGTTGCACTCTCAGCACCAGGCACAATTCCAGTCGCATCATACACACGGCGCTTATCTGGATCACTCAACACCGCGTAGGCGTTGGCGACTTCTTTGAATTTTGCCTCACCGTTTGGATTACGGTCTGGGTGGTACTGTAATGCCAATCGTCTGTACACACGGCTTATCTCATCATCGGCAGCATCAGGGGCTACACCAAGAATATCGTAAAGAGCACGCTTGGGGGACATCACAAAGTCACTGTCTCTTTCGCAGCTCTGTTATACGTGTAAAAAATAAGAAGAAAAGAAAAAGAAGAAAAAAATGAAGGGGAAAAACAAGAAATAATAGAAAAACTTCCATCAGAATGAACTTCAAAGAAAAAAATAAAAAATCTTCTCTTTACTGCCTCCTCGTTATCAAATATATTTTTTTTTATTGCTTGGTTTCTTGTCACTTTCCCTCCTTGAACATGTCATGTATTTCCCTAAACAGCCATAACACAGTGAAAATCAATAATAATAATAATAATAATAATAATAATAATAATAATAATATAAAAAAAAAGAAAAGACGCAGCAAATATAAAAAACACTGCACAACTTCTCTTTTCTTTCACTGTCCCTCTAGCTACACACATACACACATTACAATACGAAGAAATAAAACAAACAAAGAAAAAAAACTCATATTTGCAATATAGTCTCCTCTTGTTTGCCTATTTCCTTTCCTTCCCCACACCCTCCATTCTCCGCTAGCCTTCCAATATATATATATATATATATATATATTCCCTTACTTGGCCTTTGCCTTGGCCTTCACGGCATCGGCGAACTTCTTCGCCTCCTCTGGCTTCCAGTTTGCGTTAGCCGCCTCCTGGGCAACGTACTTGTCGAACTCCTCTACTCCCTTTTGTTTGAGGAATTCCACACCCTGCTCAATATTCGCCTCTTGGGCCGCCGCATCCAAAAAGGCGGGACCATCACCGCAGTATGCGGCGAGTTCAGCAACGGTATAACGTGTAAGCTTCACACGCTCCACCTGTCGCTCAATGAGTTTCTTCTGTTCTGCTGAGAGAGTCTTACTGTATGCTGCCATCTCTTCCTCCCACTTTTCACCAAACTGATGTACAATATTGCACACCTTTACAGGTGTCTTGTTCTTGAAGTGCGTCTCACCAGTAAGAATCTTGTAAAGGGCATTCATCTTGGCATTTCCAGAAGCGGCAGTGGTAGTGGCAGTAGCCGCTGCTGCAAGGGATAAAAAAGATCGGCGCATCATCCTTTTAACACGCGTACACTAACAAAAAAGCGTGTAACCTACTGTGAAGTAAATTCTTTTTTTTTTTTTTTTATTATTGTTATTGTTGTATTTTTGTTATACCATAATTATATATTCATTTTGGTACAATACAAAAATAAAAAAAGAGAGATATTGAAATAAATAAACAATGAAAATAAAAGAGTTGATTACATGTAAACACTGAGGTTTATAGAAAAAAAGAAGTGATGTTATTTCTTATTTTCCTTTTTTTTTTACTTTCCTTTTCTTTTCTTATCGTCATATTAAAATTTGATAGAGAGAGTGCGCCATGCGCTGACAATTGGTTATAGTGAGAAAAGGATGGGGGGTACTGCGAACTCTTGTCATCTGCAGAAATTGTTTCCCATTGTGATCAACTTTTTCTCTTCCATCTTCAAGTCTTCTCCGGGTTTTTTCTTTTTCCTTCGTTTTTTTCTTGTTTTTTTTCCCCCCTTTTCCCCTTCTTCTCGTTCTTCTTTGGTTTCCTTGCTCTTTCATATACTTTCCTTGTTTCTTTTTCTTTTTTTTGTCTCTTAAACTCCCTTTTGCTTATGCCCAAACATCAATCTCATCTAGGTCATCACCCAAGTATTTCTCTATAACCTCCACTGAATTACATGCGGCACCGTACCGCATGACCTTCTGCACCAATTCTCTCCCAGCATCTCGGTTAAGTGGATCCTTCTCAAACTTCTTCGCCCAAATACGCCTGGCAACGGTGAGACTGTAGAGATAACCGTAGTAACCCGCTGGATAACCAGAGAGGTGCTCAAATGAGAGAGTGCCCAATACACCAGTCTCTGTGGGAGTTACAACGGAGAGTGGGGTACAAACATCAATGAGGAGTTTCGCTAAGTTGTACGTTCCACGACCATAATCAGCAATTTCACCAAGAGTACGTTTTCCAAGATGTCCTTTATCACCATGTGGAAAGTACACTGTATACGGTTGAGGACCGTGAAGGGTTTGATCCACAGCAGAGAGTACCACCTGATCTAACATATCAAGATGTTTAAACATATCATTAGCTGCATTACGTTTCATAACCATATCAAATGAGATGGGTTCTCTTGTATTGATACGGTGTGCCCAAAGGCGCAGGAATTCATGTGAAGTAAGAAATTGTTCAAAAAGTTGAGAAAATGTTTCTACAAAATCAATACTAGCGCGTGTTCCTGCTAAATTTTGTACCTTTGTTTGTCCAAAAATAGTATGCATTGCATGACCAAACTCATGAAAAACAGTAGTCACTTCACCTGGATGCATAAGTGTAGACTCATCATCAAATTTTCCATCCACACGTCGTTGTGCAGGAGTTTGTGCTCCAACATTACATGTTAACACTACAACAGGATATTGTCGTTTTGGAAGTTTTAATCCTACACGTGCGAGGGCTTCTTGATGGGGTTGACAACCAAGTTGTAGTGTGAGATGTCCTGCTTGACAATACTTCATCTCATTTGCATACATATCCAGTACAATAACACCTAAAAAGGCACGATTTTCATCATATACATGAAACTTCTTCGCATCCATATTAAATACTTCCTCTGGGCTAAATGGTACCTCTTCCAGTCGTACACCAAACACTTCAGAGCAAAGACACTGAATTCCACGAATACAGTTCGCCACTGAAAAATATTCGGTAGCTCCATCTGGTTCCGCATCCCGACGAATAGAATGAGCCACACGAGCTCTTATATCATCTGTTATATTTTGACGATTACGAACTTCTCCAACATTTTGTCGAATAATATTCATTTCCTTCTCAGCAGCTGGACGGTATTTGTGTGCAATACCACAAAGAAAATGCCAAACGCGTTGTTGGTTCTCTAGCATTGTTCCACGTAACTGTTGTTCTGCATAACTTTCAAATCCAAGTAACTGTGATAATTCATAACGACAACGAAGAAGGTAACGAAGAGTTGCAAAAGGATTTTTAGATCCCTGTTCTGTTAAGAAGCGCATTGCCAATTCTTCCTTTTCGATATTCATTTCAGTCACTTTTTCACGAAGAGCATCAGGTAAGTGAATACCATTACTTTCCATATCACGCTTTAACTGAACAACATTTTTAATCTCTTCATCATCAAGTTGTTTTCGTCCTTCAGGACTATCAAGTTCAACAATAACATCATAAAGATCACGACGTGAATTTACTTTACTCATGTACTCATACCCTTTTTGGAAAGCGTATGAGGCATACTTTTTGTAATCTTCATCAGGATGAATTTGTCTAACAAACTCACATGGATCTAAGAGTAAACATAAGACATTACTTGTAGTATCAATAAGATCGTGCTTCTCTTTTGCGGTTTTAACCTTAGGAATTTCATTAAGAAGTGCATCGCAGACTTCAATCGTTCGATCCACTGTCTCGGCCAGAACAGCCTTGTTAGACAAGAAACTGAGATTTGGTATAGCATCCACATCTGTGAGAACTGATGTGGCGTTGTTGCTACTACTACAAGCCTTTCCAGTACTGCTGCTATTACCACTAATAGTATCAACAGGAGTAGGAGCAGGAGATCTCGTGGTGGCGTGTCGAGCTGCTACTAACTTTCCGTAGGCAGAAGTACGTACCCCACGAATTCTTCCAAGAACAACACGACGCAACATCTTCTATAGTTCTCTGCTAGGGAGCTAGATAATTGTTTTTTTTTTTTTTTTTTGTTGTTGTTGTTTCAGTTGTTGTTGAAACAATAATAATAACAAAAAAAGGAAATGGAAAACAAAAGAAGAAAAATATTAGGTAGATTGATTATAGATATGAAAACACCTTTGAGGGAATCATACTCAACGTAACTTACAAAATATAAATAAAGAATTGCATAGATAAATGGTTTCATTCGTCTCTGGACATTGCAATAAGTGCACTGCCATAGGGAATAAACAACAACAAGAAGTAGAAAATAAAATAAAAACATGGAAGCGTTAAAAAGAGAGTATTGTAAAATGCCAAAGGGAAAAGAAGAAAAAAAAAAAAAGCAAACCAAACAGTTTGCCAACGAAGAAAAAAAAAAAAAAAATGAACCTTTTCTATCCAAAAGGGACATTCCAACTTCCCTTTGAAAATGCTGTAGAGAGTTCGGTATGTGCCAAAGATTGCCAGCGTTCATCCTTAAGATCTTGGGGTGGCATTTCATCTCGTACTTTTCCATACCATCGACGTGCATTTTGAAGATCTCCACTGTGATAATACGCCTGTGCGAGTCGGCATGCGTATTCCAAACTCTTTGGGTCATTCTCAACAGCCTTCTTATGTAATTCAATACTCTTTGCCCACAGTGCCTTCCATCCCGGCACTCCACACCACATGGCATACAATCGTGTAGGATCATACCATTTATATGCACATCGACCACAAAGTGCACCGAGGGCATTCGGCATATCCGGATCTCTCGGTAATAATTCCATTCCCTTTTCTCCACGTCGCATAATGGCATTGTAATTTTCCAATAATCCCACACCCGTAAAAGTCTTCATGTAGTAAAGTGCTTCTGACTCACGCGTTGCACATAACACGTAAGCTCTATAGCATGGACCATACTCTGGGTTTTCATTAATACACTTCCTACTAACATCAACACCACGTTGTAAAAGGTCTAGACGATCACACCAATGATCTCTGGCAACCTTGTTCTTGTTTTTATCATAGAGAACCGTTGTCTCTGCAAGAAGAGCCATAACTTCCGGATTAGATGGATTTTTTTCGAATAGTCGCTCTGCATAATCGAATGCACTCTCTCCAAGTGAGAAACTAAGCAACTGATCGCGAAATTCACGATAATGAGCTAATTCATCTTTCTCATTTTTTACATTTGGTGACGGCGTTGAGGATGAGGTTGATGCTGTCGTCTGAGCATTTACTCCTCCTTTTGCCTCAGTAGATGTACTGTTTCTATTCCCCATCTTAATTCAAATCCACTCGTTTATATCCACTCTAACCTTGTTCTTTCTTCCTTTCTTGGTAAAATTTGATTATTTATTTCAAATGAATGGAAGAAAACAAAAACAAAAAAAAAATTGATGTATGGCACTCTGTCTTTGCTGTCCTATTTCTGTTTTTTTTTTTTTTTTTTAATTATTATACAGAGTTTCTCCTTTCTAAGTTTATCTCACGTTTTTTTTTTTTTTAATATTTTCCCCGTCACCAGATATTACACTCTGGCTGTCCCTTTTTTTTTTTTCTCACTTTCTTGTTTGTACCTTATTCCCCTTTCAAGCGTCTTTTATTTGCCTTTCTACCCAAAGAACCTCTTTTTATTATTAATAATATTCTTTTTTTATTTCCTTTTTTTTTGGTAGTGAGGTATGAGTAGAAACAGACTTCTAGAAATGTATTGACAAAAAAAAATAAGCGGGATAGCGACCCCACAAAAATTGTCCACCCAATTGTGTCGTCTGTAACGAAATCCCGCACCTATTATTAAAGAAAAATAAGAGAAATAGTAAGAATAGTATGCCAAACACACACAAAGGAAAAAAAAAAGGAGAAAAGAAGAGAAGAGCAAAAGAAAAAAGAAAAAAACACTGATAATTGTGAAATCCTCTCAGAAAAAGAATGATCCACCAAAGCAGAAGTAAGAACAAGTATTTACAAGAAAAAAATATATATATGAATACAAAATATATAGTCAAGACAAAGACACACATATAAATAAATGTCGATAATAATGAGGAAAGCGACAGAGAGATAAATAGAGAGATAGGAGTAGATAGGTCAAAAAGTGAGGATTCGCATTTGATAAGAACACCGATAACAAAAATAATAAAAAACTTCTGTTATACCCTCTCTCTTCCTTTCATCCACCACCCTCTCCCAGAAAAAAAAAAAAAAAAAAGAATCAAAGAAAAAAGAAAAAATAATAACAATGTAGCACTTCTTTATTCAGCACTTTCCTAAGTTATTGCTACCATTTTTTTTTTTATCTATTTCTTTCCTTTTCTTTTCCTTGTACTTCTTTTCTTTTATTTTTTCTGCTGTTTTGCCTCTTTCCCTTCTATTAAATTTCTATAAACCCTTTAAAAAAGAGTTTTCTTCTCTTCCTGTATTACACTGAACCTCTTTCTATTTACTTGATAGATTCTACAAAACTCATAAGGTTTTGCAACTCGGGGCTGTATCTCTGATTTCGTGTCTCTGGTTTTGTTTGCTGTTCACCTGAAACATTTGATCTAAATGGTGATAATGATGATGATGGCGAGGGCCGAGGTGGTAACGATGCTCCTTTTGTATCATGTGATACAGCGAATGCTGATTGCTTTGAAGTATTCCTTTCATCTGGAGAAAATAATGACATTGTTGGATTAAACGATGATGGGGATCGAACATTAGTTTCGTTCGTTTGATTTTTCCCATTGTTCTTATCTTGCCTACCACTACCTTTAGAAGAATTTACAAATTTCTCATACTGTTCCTGATTAATCCGTGAGTTTACAGCAAGGATTTGCTGCTGTAAGGCATTCAACTTCTGCTCCTGTTCGACGAGACGCACTTTTGTATCTTCCGTACGTCCGCCGTCTCCTTTTTTTCTCCTCCTATCGGGTGTGGCATTCGACAAGAGATGCTCCGCGACTGTAGTGGAGGTGGGAACGACGGTGATTTGATCCTGCGGGCCAAAGACGCTGAAGGCGGGGATCCACCCGCTGAGGGCCGGCGGCAGCGGGATCCGCGCGACCACCTCCTCTTCATAATAACAAATGAGAAAATACGACGGGGCCTCCAACTCGAGAACAAAGCGGAGGGTCGTGCCCGTCTGCAGGCGGCAGCGCTCCGGCAGCAGGCGGCACTCGCCCTCATTCGGCCCGACGATGCGCTGCCCGTCCCACACAACCCCCTCGCCGTCGCTGCCGGCCATCAACACACCGGCGAGCACACGGCCGGGCCCGGCGCCCACGCGGTCCACGTGCACCGCCCACGCCGTCAAGCCAGTGTAGAAGACTCGCGAACTGCAGACAAGAACGTGAACGGGAGTTACAGTCGCCGCCCTCGTGAGTGTGCGCCCACTGTAGATAAGAATTCCACGCTCCACCGCATCCGCCGGAGGTTGAAGCGTAAAGGCTTCACGGGAAACATCAGAGGGATTTGGAAAGTTAAGGTATCCCATATCAAGAACATCCGGTAGGCGAACAGCGGCAGGAACACTTACAGCTTTTATAAGATCCATATAGGTTGCCGCAGTAGCAAAAGATTTCACTTCTGGAACTGTTAAACGTGGCATGGGAATGGGTTCATATCGTGTGGCCTTAAGTTGGCTAACAAGATTCATTACACGAAGAGACCAATCTTCTGATTGTTTATCATTTTGATGTATAGGTGGTATATTTTGTAGAAGAGGATCACAACTATTCTGTCGCTCTGTAAAACACTCCATAAGATCAGTAGTATTTTCTAAAGCTAAATCAATATTTCTTATTTGGGCATCCACTTGTAACCTCAAACTAGATCGAAGTTCCTCTCTCCACTGTGTAAGACCACGAATAATTTCTTCAAATTGCTGGTCAAGTTCCTTTTCTTGATCTTTAACTGTCTCACTGATAAGTTCTTTTCCATGCTTTAGATTGGCAACAATATTACTGGCAACATTTAGTTGTGAACGGCAACGTTCAGACCATGTCTTAAGATCTCCAACATGCGCTTCTGCTGCCTGACGGAGGGTAATAAAGGGATGATCTTTATGAATACCAGTCACATGGCATCGACTGGAAACCAATGCCCCACAAAGTGAACACCAAAACTCTGCAGGAAGATTAGGGTAAACGGAGCAATAGGCAAGAAGAGTACCATTTTCTTTAACGGTTAAACCCAGTAAAGAATTTTCATTATGCATTTTGTGATGAGGTGTTTCTACCATTTGTTCTGTACTTATTTTAGGGTTTGTTAAATTCGATGAAACTCTTCCATTTGAATTTGATGGAACAAAACCAGATCTATTTGATCCATCTGCTGATATTTCTACTTCTTGCTTCATTGACTGTGGTGGAGTATTTAAGGAATTCCGAGGATGTTTTACTTCGGCAAGCTCCATAAGTTTCGGCATCTCACTCTTATTAAACCCCATAGAGGAGATGATGCGTAATTTCGTAGGCACATCACAACGGAAAAAATCTGCCATAGAGATACCATTATTTACAAGTGTTTCTTGCAATCGTTTCCATAGTTGTTCATTCACATCTAACAGTGGAGCCGTGATGCTTGGATTTATACTACTCGGCGTTGTTGTTCCTGTTGTATGTTCATTTACTTCTCTTTGCTGTTCCGTTTGATCCGATATGTTCTGCACTCGCTGCAGTGTTACAGTCCCGCATGTATTGCAGAACGTTGTCATATTTTCCCTCTGTTGCATATTGATATGCTGCATGGGAAAGTTGTTGGGTTTCCCACACTCCGTACAGACTAGAATAGTGTTATTCATATTTCTTTCTTTTTGTTGTCTAGCCTTCCTTCTGCCTTATTTTCGTTTGCGATACTTTTCTTTTTTCTTCTGGTATTTATATATAAATATAAATACAGATATATAGATTCTCTTATCTGCAAGTTACTTCAAACGCTAATAATGTGCAGTTTTTTCCCCCACTTTTTTTTTTTTTATATTACCTCTATGTTCCTTTGACAGCTAACGCTGCTATTGTACTTTGAAAAATAGAAAATAAAAATAACATATGAAACAAATAACAAGAGAAACATAAAAACCGGCAAAAAAAAAACAAGGAAGAATCTGATCATAAGGCCGAAACAAAAAGAAAAAAAAAAAAAAGAAGCACCTTTACTTTTTAAAAAATATATATGTATACCTGTATAAATATATATACTTTTTATTTTTAACTCCGACACCCAGCGGCAAGCACAAAAAAAAATTTTCAAAAGAAATTAAGAGGAAGAACTGAGAAAAATCCGTTTTTCTTTTGTTTTTTTTTTTTTCATATTTTATCCATCGTTTTCGTTTTTGTTGTTCTTTTGACGATTCTATTCTTTTTTTTTTTTTTTTCCACTTCCATCTTTTCGATGAGAGACACCCACGATTTTTCCTTTTCTTTCTTCTTTTCTTCCTATTTTATGTTACTTTAAGAACACAACCGAAAACAAAAACGAAAAAAAAAAAAAAAAAGAAAAACCCTACGCATTAAAGCTTACAGGTTTTGTTTCTGCAGAGTGAGTTCACCACGGAGGTTAACGTTTGAAAAGAACTTCTTTACATCATTCGTTGAAAGACCAACACCCAAGAGATACTTTAACTTCATAATGGTAGCCTCAATGGTCATATCATGTGCACTCACAGCACCTGCCTTCAGCAATTCCTCTCCAACTTCATATGCACCCAAATTCACTGAGCCGTAAAGATTCTGTGTACATACAACCACCAAAATACCACGTTCCACACTCTTCTTCACAATATTGCTCATATACCCATCACGTGAAGGACCATTTCCATCACCATAGGCAATAATAACAACAGCACGTGCTTTTGTTAATTCTACTGCTTTTTGTAAAACCTCTTGACGAAGTGATGGTCCAAGTTTTAGGGTTAAAACAACAGACTGCATCTTATCCATTACACGGAATTGACCACGTGGGTGTAATCGAAGAAAAGGTTTGTGTAAATGTATCGCACCATGCATAGAAGCCAATGGTGGAAAATGTGGGGAATCAAATGGAGTAAGAGTAGATCTAGAAACTTTAATAGAACGATTTGCACGAAATAATTGCTCATCAAAAAGAATACATACCTCATTTAATTGGCTACAATTGGCGAAAAGTAATGCAACAATAAGATTACGCCATAAATCTGTATAGAGACGCTCTGGTGGAATACGTGAACCGGTAAATACAACAGGTTTTCCCAAATTTTCAAGCATAAAACTAAGTGCCGTTGATGTTGATACCATATTATCTGTGCCGTTAACTACTACAAAGCCACGACATGTGTGATAGTTCGCTTGAATAAGATTTGCCAGACTGATCCAATCATTGTGATTTTGACCCGCTGAGTGTTTTAACACTTCCAGTTGTACAACACGAAACTTTGGGACTCCACTGGACCGCAGATCATCATTTTGCTTAAGAATTTCAAGAAAATCTCGTGGTTTTCCACCACCCTGCGAGTTGCAATCCTCCACACATGGAAAGTTGCGTGTGTTGATAAGCAATACCTCTTGATTGTTGGTGTCTATCTCCATATCCAGCGGTTGGGGTGTGGCCGCATTGGATATCCCGAGAGAATCCGAGTTGCAATCAAATTTTATCATAAAAAAAAAAATGTTTTTATTTAAATGATACTTAAGAAAAAAGAGTAACGCACTGTATATATTTATTTATATAAATAAATATACTTTTCCTCAAATATAAATATATACATATATATATGCATGGGTTCAAAAAAAAAAAAAAAATGTGGAGAAAAAAAAAAAAAAAAAAAAGAAAGTAAAGGAGGAAAAATGATATATAGAATGCATCATCATAACAGCAGTTATATAGTACACGAGGATTAAAAATAAAATAAAAATAAATAAAGGTTGAATCAACCTTTATTTTTCGTGAATTATTTTTATTTTTTTTTTTTATTTTTACTCTTCGTTGTAAATATAAAACGAGAAAAATAAAATGGAAACTATAAATGAAGGAAAGAAGAAAAGAAATGACGAGAAAAGACAATAAAAAAAAAAAAAAAAAACGAAAGAAAGAAGAAGAACGAAGGAACCGTGCAACAAGAAAGAAAGAGAGAAAGAGATATTAGAGCGAAAAATGGCATATACACATCCAAAAGACTTTTTGGCGGTAACCATCACATCTCTCTTTTTTTTTTTTCCCATATCCCATCACTTTTTCTTTTCTTATTTTTACGTTGTTTCCTTCTCCATCATCTCCCTATACATTTCTCTTTTTTTTATTTTTATTTTTCTTTTACGCCTCTTCCTGGTCCTGGATGTTGAAGTACTTGAGCTGGTACATATCCTTACCCTTGGCAAGAATACGGATCCAGTCACGGAGATCCTTCTTCTTAAGGAACTTCTTCGTGAGGTACTTGAAGTACTTCTTGCGGTAGGCCATCGTTGTGGTGATTGCGAGTGTGTTGTCGCGCATGCTGATACGCACCTTCTCTGTCAGCTTTCCCTTGCGACCGTTGAGCTTCACATTATCTTGGAAGTACTGCTCGAAGTTGCTGAGGATCTCCTCGCTGAAGATACCGTCGTTGGCGGGGATGCTGCAGTCAATCTTGAACACCTTCTTCCCCTTTGACAGCTGCTTCTGACGGATGAAGCCACGGGAACCAACCTTTGCGCGAACTGCGACCATTTTTCTTTGTTCGTGTGTTTGTGTGTTTGTTTCTCCTCTTGGCTTTCTTTTCCTATGTACGAGTGTGCGATGGCAAACTCCTTTTCTCTCTCCTCTTTCCTACACAGAAGAAAAAAAAAGAAGAAAATACAAAATAAAGAATAATAACAAAAAATAAAGAGAAACCATGAGAAACTATATATATAGCTAGATAGAAGAGTTCTTTTTTTCTCTCTGTTTGGGGAATAAGAGACTCTACATATTTCGTTCGTATTGTTACCCAAGAATATAGGAAACAGTAAGAGTAACATTAGCAACAATAATAATAATAACAACAACAACAAGAACAAGAATACCCTCAAAGATATCTTCACTCAACGTTTACGCCCCTCCTCTTTAATTTCTCCTCCTTCTGCTTTATTCGTGCTTCCATCAGTGTCATCTATCACCTCTTCAATAACACGGCTATCCGCTCGCTTTTGATGTTTTGCTGCAATGTTGGCTTCTTTGCGATTACGACTCATGGCGAGTTGACGTGCACGAAACTCTTTAAACTTTTTGCGTTTCTCCATATCTTCCTCTTCACGACGTTTCATCATTTCCTTCACACGTTCTGCCTCTTCTGCGGCGCGTTTCGCCTCCTCTTCATCCAACCGCTGCTGCTCCTCCGGTGCTATCCACGGCTCATCATCATCGTTGTCAACATCAATACCGGCTCTCTCCAATTCACGGCGCCGGCGCTTTTCCATTTCGTGTTGTCTGATGTCAAACCGCACAACGGGGGTTCCACAAACACCACGGAACTGCTGGACTAACACCAGCGGAGCAATCAGACGGTGTGAGAAGCCACAGCCGCTACTACTACTACTAATAATAGCACTGCAGGAGCGAACCAATAACGGTCTTGACAGCTGATAGAACACCATCTACTCTAATAGAGGAATAAACTAAATGTCAAGGGTAGTTGAATCTATAATACAGAAAGAAGGAAAATAATTTTTCTTTATTTAAACAGAATTGTGGAAGAAAAAAAAAAGAGGGAAAAAGCGTCCTATCTCTATTTTTTCTACCTTTTAACTCTTATTGATATAAAAGAGAAAAACAGAAAAGAAGAGGTGAATCAAAAAGTAGAAATAAGAAAAAAAAAAAAAAAAAAATATTTCGGCCCCAATATGCCAAAGAAAAATCAAAGGATTAATTTCTCTTTTTTTTAATTGCTGGTAGATGGGATTTTTTTTTTTTTTTT